TGTGAGCCAAGTTTGGTTCAATTCCTTTGTTTGTGGAGTTCAGAATACTCTTTGATTGTAGGTGAACTATAAATCCTAGCAACCACAATTCCCAAATGTCAAGGTCTATTTTCCCCAAACTTCACCAGTGTTCACATTTGGGTATATTGAGTATCAGTGCCAAGTTTGGTCCAGATCTATCATTGTTTGAGTCTACAGTGCTCTCTAGATGTAGGTGAACTATAACTCCAAAACTCAAGGTCAATGCCCACCAAACCCTTCCAGTATTTTCTGTTGGTCATGGGAGTTCTGTGTGCCAAGTTTGGTTCAATTCTGTCATTTGTGGAGTTTAGAATACTCCTTGATTGTATGTGAACTATAAATCCCAGCAACTACAACTGCCAAATGTCAAGGCCTTCTCCCGAAATCAGCATGGCAAGCAAGCATTGGAGTTGCGACTTTAGAAAAGCCTAGTGTGATGAAATGTGAATTTCAACCTACAGTTATGTATAATTATAGATAGGTGTTTAAAAGGGTAAGTATTTAAAATAGCATAACTGGGGGATGGTAGCCATCTCAGCTCACTCTGAGCTGGGTTGCTATGGAAAAGGAGGCGGAGCCAACTGCCACTTGGCAGGGCAGGCAGTTTAAAACGGTCAGTCTGTAGTCTAAGAACTGCAGGAAAGACTGGTTCTACACTGTTGAGAATCAGGGAAGCAGTCTGTAGTTCGAGAACTACAGGGAAAGGCTGGTTCTACTGTGTCGAGAACCAGGAAGGTTTAGGCTTTTAGCCTGTGTGGTTTAGATAGGTCAAGTTTACCTGTTTAGATTTGTAGTTAGTGTATGAGCAAAAAGGGGGAGAGAACCCCAATAAGCATCTTTACTGCAACAGAAATAACATAAGGAAAGAAACTCAGTTTGAAGAAAAATAAGTTTAAAACCTGTTTAGTGGAAGGAACAGTCCTCTCAAGAGTTGTTTTATGAAATGTTATAAATGTAACCTCTAAAAAATGTGCCTCTAGGAGTTAAGAAACATTGAAACCATTAAGCTTCTTCTATATTTCAATAAACCTGTAACAGTTTCTCTTAAAGCCAAGTCTCTGTTACGAATACTTTCAAGTCAAGCCACGCTACACGTTAAAGAAAGCCCAACAAAAGATCACATGCTATTAGCTGTGTTATCAAATTTGCAAATCCATTACAATAAGTAGGAGTCCCTGATAAATCAGTGACGTCCTTACTGCTTCTGGTGACGTCTTTACAAAGTGGTGGCTTCTTTGCACCTAGTCTTTCAAAAAAGAAAGAAAGACAGATGGAAAGAAAGCCAGAGAGAGAGTGTGTGTCATAGAAATGAAATTATGGTGATAACAACAGGAGAGAGAGAAAAACGAGTATTCTAAGTTGTCTCTTGAAGTAAGAATGGCAAAGAGTAATATAGTACTATCTACTTATATTTTAAAAATGCAATGATCATTTGTGGGATTAACAGAATTCAAAAACCACTGGATGTATTGGCACTAAATTTAGACACAATACACCTAACAACTCAACAACCCAATGTATGTCCTTCACTCAAAAAAATTGATTTTGTCATTTGGGAGTTGTAGTTGATGGGATTTATAGTTAACCTACAATCAAAGAGCATTCTGAACTCCACCAATTATGGAATTGAACCAAACGTGGCACACAGGATTCCCATGACCAGCAGAAAATACTAGAAGGGTTTGGTGGGCATTGACCTTGAGTTTTGGAGTTGTCGTTCACCTACATCCAGAGAGCACTGTAGACTCAAACAATGATGGATCTGGACCAAACTTGGCATGAATATTCCATATGTCCAAATATGAACACAGATGGAGTTTAAGGGAAATAGATTTTGACATTTGGGAGTTATAGTTACTGGGATTTATAGTTCACCTACAATCAAAGAGCATTCTGATCCCTACAAATGACAGAATTGGGGCAAATTTCCCACCCAGAACACCAATGACGAACAGAAAATACTTAAGGCCATCCAGTCCAACTCCCTTCACCAGGGCAAGAAAATCTAATCAAAGCCCTCCTGACAAAGAGAGACCCAGCCATAGATCTAGATAGATATATATGATTCACACACACAGAAAGATATAGTATCATAGATTTGAAAGGGACCCCTAAAGAAGGACAATGATATATTGCATGTTCTAGAGTAGGCAAACCAGACACTCTCCGCATCAACACTGACAAAGAAACAACAAGAAATAGGTCTGCTGTTTGAATTCCGATTAACTGAGTGTCTACTGTAAGGAGGAGGAGGAGGAGGAGAGGAAGAGGAAGAGGAGGTGGAGGAAGAAAGGAGAGAAGAAGGAGGAGGAGGAGGAAAAAAGGAGAAAAGAAGAGGGAAAGGAGGAGGAAAAAAGAGAAGAAAACGGAGGAGGATAAAGAAAAAGAGAGGAAAAAAGAGGAGTAGATGGAGGAAAAGGAGGAGGAAAGGAAAGAGAAGAATAATGGGAAAGATGAGGAAAAAGAAAAGAAGGAGGAGGAGGAGGAGGAAAAGGAAAAGTAAAAGGAGAAGGAGGAGGAGGAGAAGAAAGATGAGAAGGATGAGTAAGAAAAGGAGAAGAAAAAGGAGAAAATGGGGAGGAGAAAGAGGAGAAAAAAAGGAGAACAAAAAAAGGAAAGAGGAGGGGAAGGAGTAAGAAGAAAAGGAGAAGGAAGATGAAGAAAATGAGAAGAAGAAAAAAGAGAAGAAGGAGATGGAGGAAAAGTGGGAGGAAAGGAAGGAGGAGAATGACAAACATGAGGAGGGAAAAGAGAAGGAAGAGAAGAAGGAGTAAAAAAAAGAGAAAAGAAGAAAAAGCCAATGAGGAGGAGGAGGAGAAGAAAAAGGAGGAGGAGGATTAGAAACAGGATGAAGAAAATGAGAAGAAAAAGAAGGAGGAGGAAATGGAGGAAAAGTAGGAGGAAGGAGAAGAAGAATGAGAAAGATAAGAAAGAAGCAGAAGAAGAAGAAAAGGAGAAGCAAAAGCATAGGAGAGAAGGAGGAAAAGGAAAAAATGAGAAGAAAAAAGAGAAGGAGGAAGGGAAGAAGGGGGAAAAGGGAGAAGAAAAAGGAAGAGAAGGAGGGGGAAGAGCAGAAAGAGAAGGAGGGGGAGAAAAGGAGAAGAAAAATGTAGAGGAGGAGGAAGAAAAGGAGGAGGAGGAAAAAGGAGAAGAAAAAAGGGAAAGGAAAGTGGAGGAAGAAAAGGAGAAGAAGGAGAAAAAAGGAGAAGAGGAGAGAAAGAGAAGGAGGAGAAAGAAGAGAAAGAAGAGAGGAAGATGAGAAGAAGAAGAAAAGAGGAGAGAAGGAGAGGAGAAGAAGAAGGAAGGAGGAGAGGAGGAGGAGAAGGAGGAGGAGGAGGAGGAGAAAGGAAGAGAAGGAGAAGGAGGAGAAGGGGAGGGAAAAGGAGGAGAAGGAGGAGGAGGGAAAAAGGAGGGGGGAAGAAGGGGAAGAGAAGAAGAGGGAGGAGGAGGAGGAGGAGGAGGGGAGGAGGAGGAGAAGGAGAAGGGAGGAGAGGAGAGGAAGGAGGAGAGAAGGAGAAGGAGAAGGGAGAAGGAGAAGAGGAGGAGGAGGGAAAGGAAGGAGGAAGGAGGAGGAGAAGGGAGGAGAAAAAGGAGAAGAAGGAGAGGAGGAAAAGGAGGAGGAGAAGGGGGAGAGGAGGAGGAGAGGAAGAAGGAGAGAAGGAGAAGGAGGAGAAGGGGAGGGAAAAGGAGAGAAGGAGGAGAGAGAGAAGGAGGAGGAAAGGGAGGAGAGGGAGAAGGAGGAGGAGGAGGAGAGAAGGAGAAGGAGAGAAGGAGAAGAGGAGAAGGAAAGGGGAGGAGGAGGAGAAGGAGAGCGAGAAGAAGGGGAGAAGGAGAAGAAGGAGAGGGACAGGGAGAAGGAGGAGGGGAAGGAGGGGAAGGAGAAGAAGGAGTAGAAGAAGAAAACGAGAAAAATGAGAAGGAGAGGGACAGGGAGATGGAGGAGGGGAAGGAGGAGAAGAAGTAGAAGTAGAAGGAGAAGAAGGTGGAGAAGGGGAGAAGGAGTAAGGAAAGAAGAGAAGAAAAAGAAGGAGAGGGACAGGGAGAAGGAGGAGAGAGAAGGAGTAGAAGTAGAAGGAGTAGGAAGGAGAAGAAGGGGAGAAGGAGAAAGGGAGGAGGAGGAGAGGAGAAGGGGAGAAAGGAGGAAGGAGAAGAAGGGAGGGAAGGAGAAGGAGGAGGGGGAGGAGAAGGAGAAAGGAGAGAGGAGAGAAGGAGGAGAAGGGGAGAGGAGAAGAGAGAAGGGAGGAAGGAGAAGGAGGAGGGGAAGGAGGGGAAGGGAGAAGGAGTAGAAGGAGGAAGGAGGAGAAGGGGAGAAGGAGAAGAAGGAGAAGGGAAGGAGAAGGAGAGAAGAGAAGGAGTAGAAGGAGAAGGAGGAGGAGAAAGGGAGAAGGAGAGAGAAGGAGGGGAAGGGAGAAGGGAGGAGGGGAAGGAGAGAAGGAGAGAGAAGGAAAGAAGAGAGGAAAGAAGGAGGAAGAGAGAGGAGAAGAGGGAGGAGGAGGAGAGGAGAAGAAGGGAAGAAGGAGAAAAAGGAGAAGAGGAGTGGGAAGGGAGGAGGGGAGGGGGAGGAGAAGGAGTAGAAGGAGGAGAAGGAGGAGAAGGAGAAGAGGGAGGAGGAGGAAGAGGAGGAGGAGGAGAAGAAGAAGAAGAAGAAGAAGAAGAAGAAGAAGAAGAAGGGGAGAAGGAGAAAAAGGAGAAGAAGGAGAGGGACAGGGAGAAGGAGGAGAAGAAGGAGTAGAAGTAGGAGAAGGAGGAGAAGGGAGAGAAGGAGAAGAAGGAGAGGAAGAGGGAGGAGAAAGCGGAGAAGAAGAAGATCATAATACTGGACCAGGCGAAGGATGAGGAGGAAAAAGGGAAGGCGAAGGAAGCGAAGAAGATGAAACACAGCGTTGTCAGGTCCCTCTAGCAGTGAGCATGACAAAGCGGGATGCAATACTCCTAAATGATACTAGTGAGAGTCAGAAGGAATGGTGAGAATACTGGACCAGGCTTTGACGCGGATCTTGAGCTCTCCCTCCTGGGGTTCGGGCATGACTTTCTTGGCCACCCGGAGCTTGTTGAGGCCCCCGAAGGCGGAGAGGACCACGGCGCGCATCTCCTTGGCTTCTCCTCCTCCTCCGGCCTTGGGGCTGCCTTGGCTCTCTCCCCCTCCGCCACCGCCACCGCCTCCACCGCCTTCGGCCGCTTCCTTCTCGATCATCTGCTCCGTCTCCTCCGCTTTCTCGGCTCCTTCCTTGGCCATGGAGCAGGGATGGAGGGATGGATGCAGGCAGGGATGGAAGCAAGCAAGAGATGCCCAAGGTCCTCTTCCTCCCCTTCCCTTCTGCTCAGCAGCCTTTCCTCTCCTGTTGAATGTGTGTGGGTCTCTCTCTCTCTCTGAGTGTGTGTGTATGTGGGAGAGGAGGATGCTGAGCTATGTGTGCAATGGCTGCAGCTGACTGGATGAGGTCTGGGTCCTCCTGCCAGCCTTACCATAACCAACAGAGTAGAGGCACCCCCACAATATTCGGAAGCATTGCACACAAGGGCTCTTGACTTATATATTTACCCACATGGACTTACATAAATCTGATATACAAGGAGTCCCCAAGTTAAGAACACAATTGGTTCTGTACGGTTTGGTCTTCAGTTGAATTTGTTTTTAAGTCCAGAACAAGTATATTTTTCAGTCTACCTCTAGCTATATAGATATAAATGTAGATGTACATGTACATGTATATGTAGACTGAAAAATATACCTGTTCCGACATATCTATATCTATATAGGGAAGGAATATGGAAAGCTTAACACTCCTGTGGCATCCTTGAAGTGACTGGACTGACCTTGAAGGAGCTGGGGGTGGTGACGGCCGACAGGGAGCTCTGGCGTGGACTGGTCCATGAGGTCACGAAGAGTCGGAGACGACTGAACGAATGAACAACAATAACACTCCTGTTATGTATAATATAGGTAGGGAAGGGTGCATATATATATGTGTGTGTGTGTGTGTGTGTGTGTGTGTGTAATGCATAGGGAATGTTTAATACCCATATATATATATATATATATATATATAGAGAGAGAGAGAGAGAGAGAGAGAGAGAGGTAAGGAAGGATATATATATATATATATATACATATATGGCATAGGGAAGGCTTAACACCTCTGTTTATATACATATATATTAGGTAGGGAAGAATATATATGTGTATATATATATATGTGTGTATATATATATACACATACATACATATATGGCACAGGGAAAGCTTAACACCCCTGTTTATATACATATATATAGGTAGGGAAGGCGCTATATATATATATATATATATATATGGCGGGAAGGTAACGGCGCTCCATGCAGTCATGCCGGCCACATGACCTTGGAGGTGTATACGGACAACGCTGGCTCTTCGGCTTAGAAATGGAGATGAGCACCACACCCCAGAGTCAGACATGACTGGACTTAATGTCAGGGGACTACCTTTACCTTTACCTTTAAGCCTTCCCTATGCCATATATATATATATATATGGCATAGGGAAGGATTAACACCCCTTTTATATACATATATAGGTAGGGAAGAATATATATATATATATATATATATATATATATATATATATATATATAGGCATAGGGAAGGCTTAACACCCCTGTTTATCTTATATAAACAAAAATGTAATGTTCGTTTGTGAGATTAACAGAACTCAAAAACCATTGGACAAATTGACACTAAATTTGGACACAAGACACCTAATAACCCAATGTTGCAATTGGCCACCTTGATTAGCATTGAAAGTTTCCAATAGACTTCACAGCCTCTGTGAATTTTTTTTTTTTTGGTGGGTGTGTCAGGAGTGACTTGAGAAACTGCAAGTCACTTCTGGTTGGTGAGAATTGGCCGTCTGCAAGGACATTGCCCAGGGGGTGCCTGGATGTTTGATGTTTTACCATCCTTGTGGGAGGCTTCTCTCATGTCCCCGCATGGGGAGCTGGAGCTGACAGAGTGAGCTCAGCCCTCTCTCCCTGGTTGTTCAGCAGTCCTGCCGGCACAAGGGTTTAACCATTGTACCTCTGGGGGAGGCACCTCTGAGGATGCCTGCCATGTCAGGAGAGAATGCTTCTGGAACATGGCCATACAACTTGGAAAACTCACAACAGCCCAATGATTCTGGCCATGAAAGCCTACGACAACGCATTTTCAACTGGCAGGCTATGAACGCCTTTCTAAAATTAGGTTTCTCAAAATCATGCTTTAGATTGAGGAGACCCATTCCTGAAATTTTAGCTTATTTGTTCTGCCCAATCTTTTCTTTCCTTTTCCAATTCACTGGCAGCTTCCATTGTCAGAGAATGTTGAATTACTTGGGCTGGATTTGATTGTGTATAACCCTTCCGATAACTTTTCCATTTTCTGGCTAATAAGCACCTTTTTCTGCATGGAGAAATAAAGGATTTGAGGCTTAACTAGCACAAGAACAAGAGTGTACTAAAGCCTTTCCAGAGGAACTGGCATACTTGCTTGCTAGTCATTGCAAAATAGGAAAAGGAGGAGGGGAAAGCTTGATAGCAAAAATGGATGGCTATGGTCTTTATTGGAAACTAACTTGGGGACCCGGCACTGCCCAGGTTATTAGAGAAAGTGGGTAATGGGGGTTCTGTATGCCAAGTTTGGTCTTTATTGGTCATTAGATGATGGTTGCATTATTTTCAGGAAGTGAGTGAAGGTATTTGAAGTCCCATCATCCATGGTCTATCCTCCTACAAACTGCAGCAGGATGTAGAGTGGGTCATGGAGGCTCTGCGTGCCTAGTTTGGTCTTGATCAGTCATTGGATGAGGGTCGCAGTGGTTTCAGTAAGTGAGTCAAGGTACTGCAAGTCCCATCATCCATGGTCCCCCCTCCAAACTGCAGCAGGATGTAGAGTGGATCATGAGGGCTCTGTGTGCCAAGTTTGGTCTTGATGAGTCATTGGATGAGGGTCACAGTGGTTTCAGTAAGTGAGTCAAGGTACTGCAAGTCCCATCATACATGGTCCATCACCCTTAGAACTGCATCAGGATGTAGAGTGGGCCATGAGTACTCTGTGTGCCAAGTTTGGGCCGGGTCTGTGATTTGTAGGGGCTACAATGTTCTGTGGGAAGTAAATCGGGTGAAGGTACTGCAAATCCCATCATTCGTGGCCAATCCTGCCCTAAACCCACCAGGTTTAAAGTGGGCCATGGGCCTCTGTGTGCCAAGTTTGGTCCTGATCCGTCATTGGTGTGGGCCACAGTACTCTAAGGAAGTGAGTCAAACTACTGCAAGTCCCGTCATTCATGGTCCATCCTCGCTCAAACTACACCAGAATGTAGAGTGGGCCTTGGGGCGGGGGGTGTCTGTGTGCCAGGTTTGGTCATGTTCTGTCATTGTTGGGGGCCACAAGGTGTTTTGGACTTCAACTCCAACCATTCCATTCTTCAGTTGAAATAAAACAGGAATATGTTGTTTATTTTGTTCTGGAACAGTAAATAAGCATAGTGGTTTCAATAGATCCAGTAGGCCTGTTTGATCAAGAAAAAATTTGTTTCTAAAATCGATTTGTAATTGGGGTGTTTTTTTGTTTCGATATTTAAAATATTTACAAAACTTTCCAAAAAAAAGTTTTGTTATTTAGGAAATTTTGTAAATATTAACGAATTTTTAGAATATTTTTTGTATTTTTTAAGAATAATATTAAAATAATATTAAAAAATATTTTAAAATGGAAAATTAACCAAAAAATGGCCCAAATGTGGACCAAACACAGGCAGGAGACAGCAAATGAGAGCACACACCAACAGAAGAGTCTTTTCTTTTTTAGAATATTTTTTAAGAATAATATTAAAATAATATTAAAAAATAATATTAAAATAATATTAAAAATATTTTAAAAGGGAAAATTAACCAAAAAATGGCCCAAATGTGGACCAAACACAGGCAGGATACAGCAAATGAGAGCACACACCAACAGAAGAGTCTTTTCTTTTTTAGAATATTTTTTAAGAATAATATTAAAAAATAATATAAAAAATAATATTAAAAAATATTAAAAATAATATTAAAAATAATATTAAAAATATTTTAAAATGGAAAATTAACCAAAAAATGGCCCAAATGTGGACCAAACACAGGCAAGAGACAGCAAATGAAGCAAGCAGCACTCACAGCAGCAAGGAATGAATCCAATCCCAGTTGCTAGCAGCCATTGCCAAGCCAACCCAATGCAAACTCCCTCGCCCTCTGCAGCAAGCTACGGGCCGCGCGGAGCCGCTTTGAAAGGGCTCGCCGGCCAATCAAAAACAGACAGCCACGGCCCCATGGTGCACTGCTTGGGAGCGCCGGATTGGCTCCCAGGCACCAGCACTCCAGCAGCCTCCACCCCATTAACGAAACGAGCGGAGGCTCGTTAAAACTATGGGGGTTGCTGGTTCGATATTTAAAAACCCTTCCGGGTTTGGAATATGTTTCAATATCGCTTCGGAAATGCCAAAAATAACGAATTAATAACGAATTAACGGATTAACGAACGAAACCGCACAGGCCTAATTAACAGGCTTTATTTATTGTCAGAGAATGGTCTTATAACTTGAGTTTCTTAAACAAAGGGACACAGGAATACAAACAGGTTATTCTGAACCTTTTGAATCTTCCTTCCACACCAGCACTCTAATTACTATAGAGGCCTAACTATTTTCCTCAAAGAAGTATATTTAAATAACCAACAGTTTCCCAAACTCCCAACCCTTTTTCAAATCCCAAACTCCCAACTGCACTATAATGACTGTCTTTGCTCCTTCTCTTTCCCTCTGTCTCTGCCCATCTCCAGTTGCTAAATGTTTCCCTCCAATTTCATCAGCCAATCAGACTGTACCTCTGGCCATGAGGCTGCTTAATTGCTCCACCCCACAGCTCTCCTTAGCTTTGGTAAGCCAGACTTGTTTACTGCCTTTTACACCAACCCTCTAAGGTAGGCCAATCTGTTATAACCAGCCATCAAAGAGCATTCTGAACCTCACCAACAATGGAATTGAACCAAACTTGGCATACAGAACTCCCATGACCAACAGAAAATATTTGGGGAAAATAGACCCAGACTTTTGGGAGTTGTAGTTGCACCTTGTAGTGAATCTTATCTAATAGGCCAGGAAAGAAGCCTGGATAACAGTAGGACAAACCTCCATTCTGAGAGTGTATGCCAGGGAAGCAGCCATCTTGAGTGGGGATAGCTAGAAGATGGGAGGAGTTTGAGGTCTCCTGGGTTTGGCTAGAGCAGAGGGGAGGAGCCAATCCTTAGGAGGGAAAAAGATTTCAGCTTCTATGGAGAAGAGAATTGGGAGCTGGTGGAAAAAGAAGTGTTTTTGGAAACTGGGTTTTCAAAGAGAGAGCGTCTGTGTCAGGGAAGGCTGATTGTTAGACCCCTT